TATATAATAAAAATAATCTTATAGCTCTCCGGAGGCTCCCCCCCCCCCCCCACACCCCTGGGTATACGGAGGATGCATCGCCCCCTTTTTAATTTATAATGTTTTTAAATTTTATTTAAAAACTCCGGGGTGATGCTTTTAATTTAGATAAAGTTAATATAAAGTCTGTAATTTATGATATAGATTTATATTTTCCATCTTTAATTTAGAAAGATAATAAACCAAGATTAGTTTCTAATTATCATTTATCTAATTATTTTTTTTCAATAGGATACAAAATCCCCCCCCCCCTTTTTGATAAAAGAAGTTTCTTTATTTATTCTTATCAACATTATGAAAATATAGAAGATATTTAAGATGATATACTTAATATTATATTTGTCGAAAATAAATTATCTTTATACATTTCTCCTGTTTTTAGTAGAGATGTTAATTTAGAATCTAATTATTTATATTTCACCTGTTCAGACCCTTCCTCCCCCGCAAGCTTGCGGAGGGGGGGGTGGGGTAAATCTATTCATATTTAGCCGTAAAGAGGAATCAAACCTCTATCCAATTATTAACAGTAATTTGCTTTATCATTAAGCTATAACAGCGATGGGTATATTAATTAATTGTTCAAGTAATTGACCTTCAAACATATGAAACCTAAAATACATTTGTTAAAAGAAAAATTTTAATTGTTATCTACGTTATTAGAGGATAAAAGCCATTTTTTTAGTAACAGGTCTTAAAATCCCAAGAATTCTTCTTATTAATTCTTAAAAAAAGGTATAAGGAAGGGTTTTATTTTTTGGAATTATAGATTAAGTATTAAGTTTAATTTTTTTGGAAGGAGATAATCACCTACCCTATTTTGTTAACTAAATTTAAAGCTTCGCCCCCGGATACCCGGGGGAAGCTCGGCCCCCCAGTCGGAACGCCGAGCTTATATCGAGCTTATCATAGAGAATTTTATTCAATAATTATAGTTTGTAATGTGGTCTTATTTTCTTACCGGAGAATATATAAACAGTATTGATATGTAAAATGATTTTCAAGATGAAAAAAGAGATTAATTGAGGATGACTAGCCAATGATTATAAAGGAGGTGTAACTACCAAATATCCTAGCTAATTTATTAAAGCTTAGCTAAATCTAGGATTATCCTATGGGAAACCAAAAATTTTTAAATAAATAAATAACCTTATGAACTGAAACATCTAAGTAATAAGAGGAAAAAAAATCAACCGAGATTCTGCTAGTAGTGGTGAGCGAAAACAGATTAGCCTGCCAGCATAAAGCTGGCTATAATATATTATATTATTATGAATAATTAATTTCTTCCCTGATATTTTATAGATATTTTTGGGTTTAAAGAAATTTCTGGAAGTGAAATATACCAAAGAGGGTGATAGTCCCGTAATAATAAAATTATAATATAAACAAAAAAAGTAAGATGGAAGATAATCTGTCTGAATTAGGGGAACCATCCTCTAAGGCTAAATATTAATCATTGAGCGATAGTGAATAGTACCGTGAGGGAAACGTTGAAAAGCAAGTAGATAACTGGTGAAATAGATCCTGAATCAATAATCTTATAAGCAGTCGGAGTGTGGAATAAATAAAATAGTGTAACGACGTACCTTTTGCATCATGGGTCAGTGAGTTTATAGGTAGTGCAAGTAAAATTTAAAAAGTCTACTTTTTATAGAGGTTAGAATAATATTAATAATACTTAGTGAAAGCGATCATATTATATGGTTTGGTTTAGGCCAATCTTTTATAATTTATGAGGAAAGTACTATATATAAGACCCGAAACTAGGTGATCTTACCATGGCCAGGTGTAAGACCGAACCAACTACTGTTGCAATAGTACTGGATGAGCTGTGGTAGGGAGTGAAAGGCTAATTCTTACCTAGAGATAGCTGGTATTCTGCGAAACCTATTAAGGTAGGATCTATATTTGAATTATAGCAAGTAGTGCTCTGCTTTTAGCAATCCTTTTGTCTAATAACAAAAGGGATTATATTGAAAAATATAATTTATATTTAATGGGGGGGTTATAATGATTCTACCCACTAAAGGCAATCAAACCAATGGTTATAAATTCAAGATATAGGGTCAGACTATGGGTGCTAAGGCCGATAGTCGAATGGGGAAGAGCCCAGAATAGAAACTAAGGTCCCTAAATAAATACTAAGTGAAAATAAGGTAGTATCAAATAAAGAGCACCCGTTATGTATGCTTGGAAGCAGCAATCATTTAAAGAAAGCGTAATTGCTCAACGGAATTTTTAATATGGGAAGCACCGATAATTTAACGGGTCTAAAGTATTTTACCGATGTTCTATCTGCAAAATAATATTAATAAATACTTTTCTAATAAAAGAGTAAGTGATTCTTAACGAATTATTATAAAAATTTGCAGGGTAGCAGAACATACTATATATGGAGTGAAGGGTAGTTTTTAATTACCTTGACATATTAGTAGAGATTATGCTGACATGAGTAACGCAAAAGCATTAAAATATGCTTCACCGAATGCCTAAGGGTTCCATAGAAAAATTAAATTACTATGGGTTAAACGGTCTCTAAGAATAAAAGCGAAAGCTTTGATTGATGAGGAATTTATTATAAATATATTAAATAGAGAGTAAATTAATTAAAGACTCCTACGGAGTCTTAAAAAACACAATAGAGTTTTAAACTCTATTGATTTGATTTATTCTTTTTATATATACAGGAAAAATTAATATAAAATATACCGTACTCTAAACCGACACTGGTAGGCAGGTAGAAAATACTAAGGTGTTGAGAGAACTCTCCTGAAGGAACTAGGCAAAATAACTCTGTAATTTCGAAAGAAAGAGGGGCTATTAAATTATAATTTAATTTAAAGGCTGGCACGTAAATGTGAGGTACGACTGTTTACTAAAAACACAGCACTTTGCTAACATAATAATGGATGTATAAAGTGTGATACCTGCTCAATGCCAAACGTATAAGATTTTTGGTTTTACGATCAGAAATCAATCATTGGTCAATAGCGGCTGTAACTATGACAGTCCTAAGGTAGCGAAATACCTAGTCGGATAATTGCCGACGTGCATGAATGGTTTAACGATACTTCAACTGTCTCCAGGAGAGACTCAGTGAAATTGAATTAACCGTGATGATGCGGTTTACCTACAGCTAGACACGAAGACCCTATGAAGCTTTACTGTAGTTAATTATTGTTAATTTTTTATTAAGATACAGCAATAAGGTAGTTGATTAAATAAAACTGAGAGCCCTTAACTTAATATTAAATTAACTAAGATTATATTCAATTTTTATATAATTCCTTCCTAATACTTTTTTAGTAAAGGTCCTAAAGGTCTTTGACTTTTGGATTATTTTAGGTTGAAATATATATAATAAATTGAATATTCTTCCCCAGCGGCGCTGGGGACCTGGAAAATTTTATAATATAATATTTATATTATAAAGATACACCAAAGGGAAAGTGATTAATTGGCAGTTTACCTGGGGCGGGGTTCTCATAAATAGTATCTGAGAAGTACAAAGGTTTGTTTAAATTGGATGGAAACCAATGGGTTAATGATAACCTAATAAAGCGTAATGGTATAAGCAAGCTTAACTGTAAGACAAAAAAGTCGAACAGGCGCGTAAGCGGGTCATAGTGATCCGATAGTTTCATTATGGAATGGCTATCGCACAACTGATAAAAGTTACTCTAGGGATAACAGGCTAGTCACTGACGAGAGTCCATATTGACTCAGTGGTCCGGCACCTCGATGTCGACTCATCTTTTCCTGGGGGTTGTAGCTGCTCCCAAGGGTTCGACTGTTCGTCGAGTAAAAAGGTACGTGAGTTGGGTTTAATACGATGTGAATCAGTATTGATTATATCTACTGTAGGAGTTAGAATAAATATAGCAGTTTATCTTAGTACGCAAGGACCAGACTAAGTGCACCTATGGTTTACCAGTTGTATAACATTAAAATAAAAGAATGCATGGCTGGAAAGCTATGTGCATAAATGATAACTACTGAAAGCATATAAGTAGGAAACAGAGCTATGGATTATTCTTTTTCTTTCATCTTTTGTATGTAAAGGAAATAAAATTAGCAATAGACTATTGCTTTGATAGGCTATCCTATTATCTATAACAGATAGGGATTGAATTATTTTACCACTATTTATAGTTGGTACTAAAGTTCAAATTGAGGTGTAAGAATCGTAATATTTTAAGCCATCTAGTACTAAATATTAATAATCTTGAAAATTAACTTATCTTTAACGCCCGGAGGGGTGTAAAACAAATTTATTTCAATAAAGCATCTTTTTGTAGGGTCCTATAATAAGTTGTATGTATACTTGTAATGTTTTAACCCTAATTACTTATTCAGGTTATGGGGAGGTGTCATTCGAGTTAGTTTAAGTACTTAATTCAAATTACATGTTTTTATTATACTTACTACAGATAAATATTCTAATGAGTATAAGAAATACGAGAAAATAGAACTAAAAAGTTAACCTGTTTCTAGATACCTCTGATGGGAAGTTACAGAGGTAGAGGACCAATAAAACTTTTTACAATTACTTAGCAGTCAATGACAAAACCTATTGGCCTTTAAAAGTTTTTTCAGATGAAGCATATTTTAAAATTGTTGAATGATTAATACCAAAATATTTTACAGCTTCGCCCCGGAGTTTTTAAATAAAATTTAAAAACATTATAAATTAAAAAAGGGGCGATGCATCCCACGGATACTCGGGGGGGAAGCTCCCTCTGGGGGCTCCGACCAGGGAGGGGGGGGGGAGCCGGAGCTTTTTTAACATAAGTAAAACTAATAACAAGTAAGTCTTTTAAACCCAAGAATAGCAGTCCTTTTAGTAGCATTTTATTTAGTAGGAGTTTCTACATAAGGGGAGAATCCTTTATTTGCTAAAGATTTTCCTTTATTAGCAAGATTCATTTTTGCTTTAGTTTCAGAAGACTTAGAAATTGCCTTATTTTGAGAAATATTTTTATTAGCTTCACTTATTTTAGCAAATGTTCCTCGAGTATGTTTATAGCCTAGTAAGGATACAGCAACCTTAAGAATATAGTATTTAGACTCCCCCCGAAGGGCAAGTAATATATTTATACCAGTAGTATAATAATTTATAGATATATTGAAACAAAGAATAAATATAAACAAAAATAGGTTTTATTATCAACTTTTAAGGAAAATTATACCATTTATATTAATAATACCTTAATATATCTCTCCTTTACTAGGAGGGGTTACTCTAAGAATAATTTTCAAAAAAAACCTACTCTCTCTTAAATATTTAAAACTTAGACTCCCCCCGGAGGGTGGGGGGTCCCCGCCCTTTTAATTTATAATATTTTTAAATTTTATTTAAAAACTCCGGGCGGAGGGCGGAGACTGGTTAAAATTTTTAGGTTTAGAGTAGTAATATTAAAAATATTTTAACCTACGGCGGAGCCTTTTATAAAAAAAAACTCAAGATATCAAGAGTAACATAGTATTTATACTATGGTTAATTTTATAATAATTTATAAACCTCCCCCCCTAATACTTTTAGCAAAGTATTATTTTC